GCACTAGGTGAATCGAAACTGTCATTGCTGCAGTAGCACAATTCCCGCTTCTAGGAATCCTCTTCCGGCATCAAGGGTTCGGGACCAAGACCCGTGCTAAGGGAGCTCGGTCGTCGACGGAGGGGTGTGTAGTTGTTGAGGAAGGTGGGTAGAAGCTGAGTGAAGAACTGACATAGGAGGCCGACGGTGGCGTAGACACCACCGGCTATGGCGGAGAGGCGGATGAAGAGACGCACGACTGTTTCACCCGTCTCTACGACGTCCACTCGCACGGGGAAGATATCGTAACGGAAGAAGAGGCCAGGTACGCCGTGACTACCGTTAGCGTGGCTGATCGATCGGCCCTGGAAGAAAGAACGAGAATATAATTCTTAGGAGGAAAATACGAACAAATGGCATCACACAGGAAGAGTAGCAATAACTTACAGACTGGAATGACCATTTCTGGCTTACTAGCCATCGTCAGCCAGTCATACCCAGACCCAAGTGGTGTCCCACCCGAGCCTCGAAATCTCGATCTCTTTGATAAGAGTCAAACGCCCTAATCATTGAGCCACGAGCTGGTTGTCTTGCCGAGTACGGTCGAGGGATATTGACAGTCATTTATGAATGTTCACCCGACTGCTAACGGAACTCGTCTGGCCAGAAATGGCCATTCCAGTCTCCCTTGTCTTTGCCGGCAAAACTTTCTGCCTATACTACCAGCTGCTATGGCTGTTAGGTCCTCTGTCGAGACCCCAGACAGAGCGGGACAGATGAGTTCCGTTAGAAATTGGGTGAACCGCATTAACGGGTCCCCATCTCGTGGCGAAGCGTTGTTGTGGTTCCCGGATGACAAATTCGGATTACTCAGACAGCACTTTAACGGATCAAAATGTATTTTCAATTGGAAATGCGTGCTTAGACGTTATACTACGCATGCAGCGTAATCTCAAGGCATTTCAGTCATGCCAGGATAAGGCTTTTTGACTAAGCTCTCTTCGGGGTCCGCTGCAGAAGACACTCAAATATGACTACTTAAGTAATATAATGTTTTCACTGACATTTGAAACCCTTACAAATCTAAGTATATTTTATAAAAAAAACATGCCCAAAAGTATTTTTTCTTGTACTAGGTTGGCAGATAATTGCACCCTTTTCTGATGTTATACTTCAATGAAGGGTGCTTTATCATGTAAATAAGTTCCTAATTATGATAATTGTGACGACTGTGAAATGTCCATTCAAGCAACACGACATCTGCCTGTTTATGAAATTTTCTTTTGAAGTCGACAGCACGGTCTACATCTATTAAAGCCCAAAATGAGGTCTTCCAAGAAACTCAGAGCAACTTATGACTCTCCTTACATGAAAAATATGCAGTATATAGTTTGAAAACTTTGGATGCAAATATATTTGCAGTTCAGGGTCAAAACCATTCGAAAACCGAAAGGTTTTTTTTAAATCAAGTTGCTTTCTCGCCAAGGCAAAATGTTCAACCAAATGAACAAAAGTTTGGGCATTTTCTCCTACAAAATATAGTTTAATTTGCTGCGCGGGGATCAGTATTGGCAGACCTCCTTAGTACTCATTTCTAAGCAAAAAAAAATATCTAAATTTCGGTTAACTCTTCATAAGATAAGTCAGGTGCTCTACACTTGCAAACTGGCTGTTATTTACAGAAACTACTCCAAATTAGGCATTAGGACTGACGCTAGTCAAGAATAGGACGTCCGTGAAGTCCTCAGCAATGTGCTTAATGGAGTCAGGCCAGCGGATTGATTCATACGAAATACAGCAAATTGATCGAAAAAGAGCACTATAAAATGCAAATGAAAGGTAGAATCGAACCAATGAACGAAGAAGCATATAGACTGAGTACTTTCTTAGACTTGAGGCTGTCAATGCACAAGCACTGTTCTCCATCAACACGCTTGCAGGTCCTTGAAGTCACCTAAGGTTCCAACTACCGGCTATTTCAATAGAAGTAAATATCCGAGTTCCAGGAAGCAGTTCAGAAGAAGAAAACGCAACCACTGGAACACGAGCTTTATTTTCCTGACGTTTCGGATTCCCCCTATCTGCGCATGACTCAAACTATGCTATCATTACCTATGATTAAGGATTCCCGACGGAATGCGAAAGGTCAGGAAAATAAAGCCCCAGTTCCAGTGGTCGCGTCTACCGGCTACTTCCAGGTTCAAACACCCATTACCTTTTTCTCTGTGGCCCCGTTGATGTTTCCAAAAGGGAGGAAAGCACATCTGGTAGAATGGTTATAGTAGATGGGAGTTAAACGTAGCTTCATGGTCGCAAATCAAGCAGATTGTCCGCCGCGGGTACAAAAAGACTTCCCAGGCATGCTATCGACTGCCGAAGAGCTCACAAAGACCATTACACTAGCACCTACTTGTAAAACCTGAGGCTGCACAAGACAGCATTGGGGGGAAGAGTTCAGCACAGACGAGGTCGTTGTCACGGCTTAAAAGACAGGTTGACGACCTCAGGCGCTTTGAAGTAAGATAACAGACTCTAACCACGGTTACATCTACCGATGGTCCACGCAATCA